CGTAGGTTAGAATTATTTCTTTTATTAGTTTCTTTCCTATAGCCTATTATTAATACGTATTACTAACTTAATTAGCGCGTAAAGTGTTATTAGCTTATCATAATATATAAGTCCGTCTTTAATATTTTCCTTTAGACCTACTTTAAACACCGTTCGAAGTACTGCGTCGTCCTAGTTAATTTATACTTATAGCTACTTAAACTTAGCTATATACGCTAATACTAAACTAGCCTACTTTAGGTAAGTTATTGCTTTCTCTACTTAGTTCTAAGCATCTACTTCCCTAAAGATATATCTTATCTCTTTCTTAAATTCAGCCTAACTAGTAAATAAGGCGCGCGTCTCGTTCTTCGTTCCTCTATTCTTAATATTTAATAAGTAGTCCTCTATATATAGCTGTATCTAGCTTAACGCTCGTCATTTCATATAGGTACTAGCCATAAGAATCTTCTTCTAGTCGTTAGGTACCTCGTTAAATTCGCAGTATAAGTCAATATTAGTAAGAAATATCTATAACTTAGTGCGACTTCTATCGTACTTTTCTAGGGTTGCTATTTTTAGCTTCTTAAGTAGTTTCTTATTTAAAGTAGCCTTTAGTTAGCCTATAAGTTAGTTAATCATATTCTGCAACTTAGCTATCTACCTTACTTAGGCTTAGCTCTTATATCTAAGATTAATAAGTTCGTACTTAGGGCTCCCTACCACCAGCTTATTACTTCTCTCTTAGATACTACTAGTTATATTAACATCTCCCTTAGGCACTAGGCCTAGAATGTTAACGTATTCGCTTAAATTTCCTAATATAGTTTAATCTTAATCAGACGCTATTAGTTAATCCTCCTTCTACTAGATCCGTAGGTAGTCAAAGTATTACACGGGGTATTAGTCTATACTTCTCTATTCTAGTCTATACTAAGGTAGATAAGTATTACGTTAGTGTTCCGTAAGACTTATCTAGTAATACAGTAGAGTTAGCGTGCTTAAGAAGGGTTTTAATAAGACTAATCTATTTAATAGACTAACTTATAATAAGCTTATTAAGTAAGGATACTAGTAAGAAAGTATAATTTAAGTTAACTACAACGAGAGTAAATAATAAAATCCATCCATCCTTATATCCTTATTACTTCTAGTCCTAGCTTCATAGTCTTCACGAAATAATCCTTATATCTTCTAAAGTCCCTAAAGCCACCTAGTCACGTATAAGGGTGTCCTTACATACTAGTGCGGAATACTTATTCTTAGCGTAAAGCCAGTCACGTGATCTTCGCCCCGCGATAATTATTACCTTCTAACGTAGACATCCATAGGCCTTCAGCCATCTCGTCATTTATTAAGAAGAGAATCTTTCTTATTACTTATAACATATAGAGTAAGAGATTCTTAAAATATAATTCTACTATAAGCGTTATAAAGAGAAGAAGTTACGTTATTTTATAGAAAAAATATCTAGTTATTACGCTAGTTATATTTCTATTAGTACTAAGTATAGTCTTTTTATTTCTAAAGAAGAGTAGAAGAAAGTTTAAGAGAAACATAAAGAACAAGAACTAGCTATAGCTTATCTTAAAGTATAGCTTTCTTAATAGAAGCTAGAACTTCTAGAGGTAAAGAAGCGTAAATAATCTTTCGCGCGTCGCGATCTTATAATAATTACTAACTAAGATCGTGCGAAAGAGTAGACTAAGAGGAACTTAGCATCTAGAAGTACGGGCCTTTCTATCATTAAACTATCGCTATCTAGACTATTAGCTAATTTAGGCAGGTTATAGGCTAATTACTATAATCTTTCTTTTAACTGTTTCTTTCTCTTTAAGGGGCTTCCCCTTAATTCTCTAGGTATTTCTAGTAGTATTTACGTACTAGTAACTTATAGTTTATTAAGTTTTCTATAGGTTTCTAAGTATTATAGCTCTTTAGCTATCCTTACTACTTAACTTAGTTCTTCTACTAACTACTAATTTTCCGTAGGTTCTTAATTTTCTTAACCTTGTACTTATCGTCTTTAAGCTTTATATCTATTACTAGCTTAGTATCTAGAGGTACTAGTTCTAGAAGTTTCTTATAAAAGATAGAGTAGATTTATATATCTTATAAGAGTTTTAACTTATAGTTTACTTTTTCTATTCTCTCTAGAATTTTAAATTATTCTATTTAGAGGTTATCTAATTTTCTAGACAGTCGTTTAGTTTTTAGGTTTTATCTTAATAGGAAAACTTTATCTCTCTTCTTAAAGGTTAGTCCTTTAATTCTTTATTTATTCGCTACTTTAACTGTTATAAGGTTTTATTAAGCTATATTCTTACTTAATTCTTTACATAGTTTCTATATAAGCTTTACCTTATCATCTACTTCTACTATAATACTTTTAATATTCTTTAGATCTTAATAAGTAGTTAACTTATATCTGTAGTTCGCGTAGTACAGCGAATGCTTTACTTTTACTAATTTCATACTATTATAGGCTAGCTGCGCTGTTAGTAACAATTCTACCTAATTATCTTACAATTTATTAGCGTATATCTATAAGTACTATTCTAATATCTAGTTCGTTCCTTCTATCTAGCTGTCCATTTCTAGGTACCTTAGCTATCTTAGCTAGTATTATCTCGTTATACTTTAGACTACTGTTAGGTATTATCTTAAATAAGGCGTTATATAGTTCTTTATAGCCTTCTTTACGTAAATTAGATCTTCTACTTAAAGCGTCTACTACTCTTTTAAGTATCACAATGCAGTGCGTAATCTTAAAGTTAAACTAGGCTAATATCTCTACTTATCACACTTATTATTAGTTAATATTTTTTTATTATAAAACTTATAAAATTCTAGTAATTAGTAAAAACCTTAATCTATATAGAGAGTTCTAATTTATTTACTTTCTATTATTCAAAAGTATTAATTACTTTAAGTAGTTTCTTTATATGAATATTATAGTTAAGTTTTACTCTAGAGAACTTCTATAAATAGTAGAATACTAGTCTCTACTTTCTATCTAGATACTACTATAATAATACAGCTCTAAGTGTATAGTTAGACGCGTTAGTCTTAACTCTAGTAGGTCGTTGAAGGATATATATCTTAAGTACTAGCGCCTTTAGAAATATCTGCTTAATTTTATTAAAGGCCTCTTAATGTTTCTATTTCTATTTAAAACTATTTTCTTTTTTATTACTTCTATCAGTAGTACTATAATTATCAAGTAATCTCTAATAATCTTTTAACTATAATTTGCAAATTCTAAAAGAGATTAAATAACCTTAACTATTTTAAATATTACCTATTCCTATATTGTTTGTATCTTTAAGTTTATTTTAACTTCTTTAGTTAATATAATAAGTCTAAGAAAATATATTTACTATATATAATATTTGAACTTACCTAGTTAAGTGTATAGCTTATATTCTCTAAGCTTTTGTAACATCTTCTTAATATACTTAATATATTCTTCGCGTATACTACTAGACTATTCTAGTATATTATTAAGAAAGGTTATAATTAACGTTCTAAAGTATTCGTAGAGTGCGTTATTAATAACGTAGTTTATAAGCGAGTGAGCCATACAAGCGAGTAAGCCACCCTACTAACTTTACGCACCTCTCTTATTACAATATACAATAACTCCACCAAATCTATCCTAACACGTCCCTCGTGAGGCTGATATATACCTTACACTATCAGCTCTTAAAAAAAGTTAAGTTTAAACTAAAAGGCGTACTGCAGCTACGTTTAATGTTTCTCGCGCTACTCTCCACCGCCGACGCGCTAGCAAGCCTACCCGACGCGATTACCAGCCTAACTCAAAGAAGCTTACTAAGCTAGAAGAGGAGGTAATTATTAGCTATATACTTAATCTTAATCTACATAGATTCTCGCCTACCTACGCAGCTATACGCGATATAGCTAATAGACTTCTAGCTACGCGCGGCGCTAGCTAGATTAGCATCCACTAGCCGCGTAACTTTATTAAGCGTACAAACAGTCTTATAACGCGTTTTAGTTAAGCGTACAATAGATAGAGAGCTCTATATAAAGATCTAGTTCTAATTAAGAGCTAGTTTAAGCTTATAGAGTAGACAAAGGCTAAGTACAGCATCTATAATAAGAACGTCTATAACTTCGACGAAGCTAGCTTTATAATAGGTAAGATTACAACTTAACTTATCGTTATAGCGTTAGAGAGGAGAGGCTAGCTAAAGGTAGTTAAGCTAGATAATCGTAAGTAGGTGACGCTAATCGCAGCGATTAACGCAGCTAGCTAGTTAGTCTCACCGTTTCTTATATTTACTAGTAAGTACTACCTATCTACTTAGTATAAGGAGGTAGAGATCCCACGCGACTAAGCGATCGCAGTTAGTAATAATAGCTAGACGAATAATAAGCTAGGCGTTATATAGATAAAGCACTTTAATACCTATATAAAGACTCACGTTATTAGTACACGTCGCCTACTTATTCTTACCAGCTATAAGAGCTACTAGTCTCTAAAGTTTTAAGAGTTCTATAAGAAGAACAACATATATACGCTCTATATACCACCTCACTCATCTTATCTACTCTAGCCTCTTAACGTTAGCTACTTCTCGCCGTTAAAGCGCGCGTACAGCCGCGAGGTAGAGAGTCTAATCCACTATTACATTAACTATATCACTAAGCTTAAGTTTCTACTAGCATTCAAGGTAGCGTTCAATCAATTCTTTACGATATCTAATATCTGCTCTACCTTCCGCGGCGTAGGCCTTATTCCTCTCTAGCTAGATACTATTCTATTAAGACTTAATATAAAGCTTCGTATACCTACTTCACTAGCTACTCTAGAGGCTCTCTAGCAGGCTCGCACGCCTAGCAACACACGCGAGCTTAAAGCTTAATTAATATTAATACGTAATCGCGTTCAGCAGTATTAAGGCTTATTACTAGCTTTAATTATTACAGCAATTAATTAGCTTAAGAAGGGAGCTAAGGTAATAATACTCTTAGCTAAGCTAATACGCGATTAGATAGCTAGCCTTAAGAAGGCGAACGAAGCTATAATAAAGCGTAGGCAGCGTAAGAAGAAGCGGATACAGAAGCAAAGAGTGCTAACAAAGAGAGCTAGAGAGGATCTACTCGCTCAGCGCAAGGCTAATCAGCAGATTACTTATAAAGAGCGTTAAGAAAAAGAGTAATTAGGTATTAGCCGCTAGGCTCTTACGCGCTATAGTAAGTATAAAGAGACTAGCTATAATACGCGTACGTGTAAGAAAGATACTCTAGGTACTACTTAATTAATTATATTAATATATAGCAAAGTAATTATATTATAGTAGAGCTATACGCCTATAGAGGTGCGTAAAGTTAGTAGAGTAGCTTACTTACTTATATAGCTCACTCGCTTGTAAACTACGTTAACTAATTAAAAGTTTCCTAGCGTATTTATTAATCTAATTAGTATAACTGTTTACTTAAAGAGTTTAATAGTTATTTTAAACGCTAGTATCTATTTATAAACTTCTTTAACTCTAATTTAGTAGAATTCTCTTCAAATATTAAACTTTATAAACTACTTAGCTTCTTAGAGTTAATTTATATGCTCTATAATAAGTAACGTACTAGATAAGCGAGTTGGCTAGGCAAGCGAGTTAGCCACCCCACTAAGTTTACGCATCTTTATAAACGTATATCTTAACAACGTAATATTATAATATATAGAGAGTAATAGAGTGGACTAAGTAGTATCTAGAGTATCTTTTTTATATATACGCGAATTATGACTAGTCTCTCTACACCTACTATACCACGCTAGAGCCTAGCGGCTAACACCTAATCGCTCCTCTCCTTAACGCTCTTTATTAGTAATCTGCTAATTAGCCTCGCGCTAAGCGAGTAGATCCTCGCCAGCTCCCTTTATAAGGACTCTACACTTCTATATCTACTTTTTCTTACGTTTTCTACGCTCTAATACTACTATATTAGCTTTCTTAAGGCTAACTATCTAATCCCGCATCAGCTTAGCTAAGAGTATTATTACCTTAGCTCCCTTCTTAAGCTAGTTAATCGCCGCGATAATTAAAGCTAGTAATAAGCCTTAATGCCTCTAAACGCGATCACGTATTAGTATCAATTAAGCTTTAAGCTTACGCGTGTTACTGAGCGTACGAGCCTGCTAGAGAGCCTCTAGTAGAATAGCTAGTAGAGTAGACGTACGTAGCTACACGTTAAGCTTTAATAGTATAGTATCTAGCTAGAGAGAAACAATGCCTGCGCCTTAAAAAGCTAAGCAGATATTAGCTAGCGTAAAGAATTAATTAAACGCCACCTTAAACGCTGGCAGAAACTTAAGCTTAGTAATGTAGTTAATATAGTAATAGATTAGACTCTCTACCTCGCGGCTGTACGTGCGCTTTATTAGCAAGAAGCAGCCAACATTAAGAGACTAAAGTAGGTAAGATAAATAAGGCGGTATATAAAGAGTGTAAATATTCTTCTCCTTATAGAACTCTTAGAATTTAAGAGAGTAGTAGCTCTCGTAGCTGTTAAGGATAAGTAGACGACGTATACTAACAACACGAGTCTTCGTGTAGGCGTCGAAGTGCTTTATCTATATAATACTTAGCTTATTATTTATCTAGCTATTATCACTAACTACAATCACCTAGTCGCGCGGGATCACTGCCTTCTCGTACTAAGCAGATAGGTAGTGCTTACTAGTAAAGATTAGAAATAGTAGGATAGACTAGCCAGCTACGTTAATACTAGCGATGAACGTTACCTACTCACGACTATTTAGCTAGACAGCTTTTTGTTAGGCTCTTCTTTCTAACGCTATAATAATAAGCTAAGTAGTAATCTTACCTATTAAGAAGCTAGCATCGTTAAAGTTATAGACGTCTTTATTATAAATACTATACTTAGCCTTTATCTACTCTATAAGCTTAAACTAGCTCTTAATTAAGACTAAATCTTTATATAGAGCTCTCTACCTATTATACGCCTAATTAAAACGCGTCGCAAGTCTGTCTATACGCTTAACGAAGTTAGCTAGCTACTTCTACCTAACCTAGCTAGCACCACGCGTAGCTAACAGTCTATTAGCTATATCGCGCATAGTTACGTAGGTAGGCGAAAATCCGCGTAGATCTAGATTAAGTATATAATTAACTATTACCTTCTCTTCTAGCTTAGTAAGCTTCTTTAAGTTAGGCTAGTAATCGCGTTAGGTAGGCTTCCTATTACGCCTATTCTATAGCGTTAATCGTGTCACATTAAATGTTACTACTACACGTTAGTTACTCTAGATTTAATAAGTATTAAGAGAAGAGATAGCAAGCTAAACATCTATTTTATTTAAAGGCATTTAGAATATACTACGTGGAGTAGTTGTGTATAGAGTTAAACCGCGTGCGCAAACTTAGTAGGGTAGCCAACTCACTTACCTAGCCAACTCGCTTATCTAGCACGTTAGTAAAAGAAATTAATTCTTCTAGATTACGCTATTTAACCTTCTAAAATTAATATATAATTACTACTTTCTATTAGATTTCTTTATAAATAAGATACGTAAGGCTATTAGGCTTAATTCTAGTTTAATAAATCCCTTTTTTAAGTTCTTTTAGATATAAATCTATAGCTTAGTATTATACTTAGTCGCTATAGCGTATATTAGTTCTAGGCTTAACTTAGCTCTTTTAGTAAAGATAATCTAATAATTCTAATTCCAATAGTCTACTAAGTTTATTACCATATTTTCTCTAAATAGTTCTCTAAACTTATCCATTTAGTATTGTTTTAAAATCGTTAATAGTAGTTCGTTCTTTATAGGCGTAATCTATAGTACTAGTTCTTTCTTCTTAATAGTAATCTATTATATCTAAACAACTTCTATACTCTAAAAGTTCTGCACATAGATTCTCGCAATCTTATATATTAAGATTATACTAAATCGAACATTTTAGGTTCCGCGCTAATTTATTTAGCGTATCTTATATTATACTCTAGTAAACTTATATATCAGCTCTTAGCTAGTTAATGTCTTCTTTTAATAATTAATAGTATAGTTATGCTTTAATAACTAATTATAGCTAATTATTATCTTAGTCTCTCTAAGACCTATAATACTAATCTTTTATTTGCTTTCTTAACTAGCTAGGCGTAATATTACTACCTTAGTCTTAAGTTAGATCTAGCCGTTCTTATATATTATTAGACTATTATTAGCTAATACTACTTATATTAGTATCTTCTTATTCTAATAGAGTATATTATTTTCTTCTACTACTCGTAGTAATATAATAGTTAATACTACGCTACTATATATAAGCGCTAATACTTTATATCTATCTATAAGTGCTATACCTTTTAATTATAATTTTTTTATTCCTACTTTATTTACTTATGTAAACGTCGTGTTTGAACTACCTTTACTAGCGTAACTCTATCTCTAGTAGTATTTTAGTTTTTTTACTACTAGCTTTCCTTCTTCTTTAGGAAGTAGCTTTCGCATACCTTAGTAGAATAGTATATTATATTCTAGTTACTATAGTAGAAGCTCTAATATATATTCTTATAAGATATCTTCTATTACGTAGTCCTCTTTCTTAGTTATAACTTCCTATTGTTATAGATTACGTAATCCTTTACCTTATAAATATTCGCTAGTAGAGTATTATAGTAGTAGTTATCTATCTATTAAGTATTCTTAAACTATTATTAGTATAACGTGTATTACTAGTAAGCAGGCCACCCTAGTAAGCGGGCCACTTCCCCGCGCCATCCTACCTTTATAACAATAACGCGTGATATCTTAACTATCTAACGCGTTAAAAGCCTATACTAAAGTAGATCTATTTATTACTATCTCTAATATTAATTCTAAAAAAATTTAGAGTAAACGACGCGCTGCTATAGTCTATAGCGTCCTACGAATAATAATCTAGCGACAACGCGCTAGTTAACGCCTTCGAAGCGATTAGAAGCTACTAGTAAAGCGCCTAATAAAACTAGAAGAGGAGGTTATTACTAGGCGTATAATAGTTAAGGTAGAGCGAGAACTACTCTATAAGAGAGACGACGTGCGAGATATAGCTAATAGACTACTCTAAGAGCGCGGCGGAGAGGAGGTTAGTAAAAACTAAGTTAATAGGTTTATCTAGCGTAATCCTAAGCTACGTACGCGCTAGAGCCGTCTATATAATCATTAGTAAGCTGCCTATAAAGATCTAGCGCTTATTAAGAGCTAGTTTAAGCTAGTCTAGAATACGAAGGTAAAGTATAGTATTATAGATAAAGATATCTATAACTTTAATAAAACTAGCTTTATTATAGGCAAGATTTTATTATAGTTAGTTATTATAGGCTTAGATAAACTAACAAGAATAAAGAAGATCTAGCTAAGTAATTATAAGTAGATTACGCTAATATAAGGCGTTAGCGTAATAAGTAAGCGTATTCTAGCGTTTCTTATCTGTATAGGTAAAGTTCTAATCTCTACCTAGTTTACTACGGATCTACTACGCGACTAGGTAATTTAAGTTAGTTCTAACGGCTAAATAAATAATAATCTAGCGCTTAACTAGTACTATTACTTGAATTCCTATACGCGCCTTATAGAGATATAGAGACTACTTATTATTAATAGCTATAAGAGCTACTACTTAGTAGATTTCTAAGATCTCTACGAAGAGAAGAAGATAATTCTTCTCTATATACCTTCTTACTTATTACACCTCTTATAGCCTCTTAATATAGGCTACTTCTCGCTATTAAAGCGCGTATATAGTAATGCTATCTTAGTCTTAGTATGTAATTATATCTATTATATTAGTAAAGAAGCCTTTCTATTAGCGTTTAAAACGGACTATTATAAGGCTATTATACTAGAAAATATCTATAGAGAGTTTTAAGGTACTAAGCTTATACTATATAATTATTATATTATTATATTATAGCTTAATATCGTGCTACGTACGCTAACTCTACTAGCGTAAGAGACTACTACTTGTTATGCGCGAAGAGGCCTAGCGAACGAGTATACTTCTACCTATCGTATAGAAGCTAAAAGATGAGAAAAAGTGAGAATAACTAAGTATAGGCTTCTCTTATACTTACTTACTTCTAATTACGTATCTATATAAAAGACATATTATATAGTTATTAACTACGTGATCTCTTTAGTAGA